TCCAAGCAGGAGGAAGATTCATTTCCTCCTGGATCCAAACCTCCCTCCTGGACTAGCTGCTGAGAACCAAGGCCTGGGGTGGAGCATGATAAAACCCACCAAGCTGCTCCAAGAGAGATGGAAAACTGCAAGGGTTATTCATGGCCTGATCAGATCCCTAAGCAGCAGCGCAGCTATAAACAGTGATGGTGCCATTAAGATATTAATGCACAGTTAGCCCTTGGCTAACGAGGCAAATATTTCTGTGGAGGGGAAACATAAGGATAGTGATAGGAAACATATAGGACACTGTGTTCCTCTAATTTATCCCTGTAACTGAGAAGCATCTGAGCCCTTTTAAAGAACCACTTAAGCACTTGTGATCTTAAATTCCATTGTCTCTTAACAGTCTTATATCTGATCATATTTACAAAGAGGTAAGAGGCTAACTAGAAAATCAGACCCATTTTCCCTCCCCACTGGAAGCATGGTGGGGACCCACAGCACATCGTGGGCACAAAATGCATGAAGCATTTGTCAGCTTCCCTAGGTCACCAAGCCCAGATGTCTAAAGATACACAGAAGCTCCTAAAAATCAGGCCCAAAGGAGCTAATTTTCTGCATCTGCATCAGCAGAACAAGAGCTCTTATTTGCTGAACACTTGTAAAAAACACTACTTATTTTTTACATCTCCAAGCAAATATATACATCTAGGCCCAAAAGATGGCTTTGGAAGAAAACAGGAGCCTTTGAACCAGGCAGGAACCTGCTCTCAGGCTCCCTGACACACACTCAGGGTAACATCCATCTGCCAGAGCCTGCAGCAAGGGCTGGCTCTAGGCTCCATTTGCTCTGCACCTCAGTGCATGGACTTGGAAAGCTGGTAAATAAAGACCCACCTCAGGCTGACAGAGCCACTGCAGAGCTTTACTGTTTCACAGGTCACTGTCACTGGAGCCAGGCTGGGCTGAGGGAGAGTTTTAGAGGAAAGCTAGGGCCAAAGAGGCAATGACTGCCATGTTCACACTTAGCATCTGTTGCCTTCAGAGTCTCCAAGGATGGACATAAACACTCTCTGTGGAGTCAGCACCTCCTGGAGGGTTGTGGCTACTCACCAAAGCTCTTCAGTCACCCACAGCTGCTTAGTCCATACCCAAAACACCCAACCTTGAAACACACAACACTCCTACCCCAGCAGGCCACTTGAGGGTGTATTTATGCTCCTGCCACATCAGCAACTGCATGTTTTCCATCTACGCTTTAAAAAGATCTCAATCCCCACAACTCCTTGCAGCTGAGAAGGCTCCAGCAGCTCAGGGGCTTTCCCAGGTGCAGTGGACACACCTGGGAGCTAAGCAGGCCAGCGCTCTCTATTCCTGCCGTGCTAGGAAAGGATCCCTGCTGTCTCCCAGGAGGGCGATCAGATCGAAACGGGCTGACAGGGTCATGGGGCCTGGAAAACCTGTCTGCTAGGAAGGGCAAGGGGAGACCTTCCAGCTATGGGGTGGAGGGAGCACTGAGAGGACTTCTACCCTACCCTTCTGTCCTCTACTATATATTATTTAACTGGTTCCACTCTGACTTCAAAAAAACAAAGACTTCTCTTCCCTCATCACCCCAAATCAACCCTGGAGAAACCACGGAAGGGCAGGAAAAAAGCAGGGTGACAACTTAATGGGTGGATTTCCTGCACTGAAAGGCTGTGGGCCAAATCACCATGTTGCCTTCACAAAGCGAGGAGATGAATAGCAGCACTCCTGCCTAGACCCTTTTGTATTTTAACCAGCATGGAACACCCTACTGAACCTCAGAATATGCCCTGCAGAGTTGACTTTGCTAGCAAGGACTTTTATCCACCTCTCATGTCTGCAGTTCCTTGACAACCAGGTCAGAACTTCAGATCCAGTTGTAAAGTTTCATTTCCTCTTGCTGCAGCCCGATGTCCCCTGCTCCTTCTCTCTCCTGGGCAGACAGAGCCGCGCATGAGGCAGAGGAGGTTTGCAGGGAAACCAGGAGTTCCAAAGCATAATCCTGAACAGATGGCAGCTCGAGACATGCTGCCTCAGAAGGGCACTTTTAAAAGTAAATAGCAACAAATGTTTTGGTGTGTAATGCGTCGAAATCTTGATCTCACACAGAGCTTATTTTCTTTTCCTTTTTTTTTTTGCTTCTCTTCTCCCAGCAGTGGCAAATGGCTGAGGAGAAGTGTTGCTGAAAAGGAAGAAGAAGAAAAAAAAATGGAACCAATTAAATGTTTTAGAAACAATTGTGTTTTGAAATCAAGAAGATGAATTTGTGAAAATCAGTCCTGATTCAAGAGGGCTGTACTGACTTGTTCATCTTTCCCTTTCCCTGCCTGAGCAACCAAAGCAATAAAAACACTAGCTCCAGCTCAGGGCAAGGAAGCAGCAACTGAAACTTCAGAAATGCTCTGCGTCGGCTGGTGAGGCTTGATGCGGCCTCCATGGCCTGAAAGTAAAATATTCTGCACAAGAAGCAATGTCCTAGGTGGCTGAATGGGAATTTCAGCTAACTGCTGCCCCTTGGTTCCTTCTCTCTCTGACATCTCGTGTGACTAGTCCTGTTCCCAAGGGGAGAGCGTGGAGTGTGTCCAGGAGCTGCCACCCTTCAGGACATGACCCTGCGTATGACAATATTACCCAGATAAATGACACTTGAAGGTTCCCTTGGGAATTTCCCCTTTGGACAAGGGCTGGGGCTGTGTCTGCTCCACCAGGGTTTGCCGTGCCTCAGGCTGCCTCCAAGGCCGGTGCCTGTGATTCCTGCAGCACGGAGCCTTGTGTGAACAGGACGTGTGTAACCCCGCGCAGAGGACTCACTGGCAGCGCAGAAAGCAAGCAGAGAGCGGGACACCGGCACCTGCCCGGGCATCGCTGCCAGCAGGGACCGAGCCGCACGTTGAAGCAGGAACCTCTGGCTGAGGTGTCGGTTTAAAAGTAGATCAAGGCGGATAAAAGTTGCAGGTTGCAGCCCTCCCAGAGGAGGGTTTGCCGGCAGCTGCAGCGCCATCAAGCAGCGGAGATTTTTTATCTGTGGGTCACAGATGCCTCAGCTTGGTCCAGGGATGGGTGTAACCCATGGGGCAGATTTCACACGGAGAACGTTGTCCTTGGGCTCTCGAAAGGGAAGCGGGAATGTGACCTGGAAGCAGACCTGGAAATGGCAGCGTGAGGTGAAACAAGGGAGGGCAGTTAGGAGACAAGGACACAACTTCATTTGCCCAATACAGGCACTAGGAGCAACCTCAATCCTTCTCACACATCTGAGGGAACCACAAGGATTTTTGAGGGAGCCTACAGGGACCTACATGTCCTACATTTAACAATTCAGTGACCTGCTCTGCTCTTTCCTGTACTGCACTTGTATCTCTGCATCCTTAGCAAGTTCTGCTTTTAGGAGTCAGTGGGAATTTCTCTGTAGCACTGAAGGAGAATTTCCGAAGTTAATTTCTAGGGAGCAGAACAGCCCCCTTCGAGGCTGCCCCCAGCATTTGGGGTTCTTGTCACAGCCCTCCTGGCAGTAACTTACAGCACAAGGCCCAGCCAGAGCTGTGCTCCCCGCTCCACCTCTGATCCCACAGAGAAGGGGCAGTGACGGCACCACCCCAGGATGCAGCCTCCCCCAGAAGCCAGTGCAATAAGCAGAGGGATGAAGAGTCAGGAGCAGAGAGAGAGAATTACTGAGATCCATTTCAAACCAGGCTGGATAGACCTCCAAACAAATCAACAGCTGTCCTGTTTGCTAATTTAACCTCATACATGCCCTGTTAGGCTCTCTGTCATGTCTTCTGTTTTGTAAGAAGACACACAACAACTTCCCTGTGGCTCAGGAGATGCCGGGAGTCAAGAATACGAGACAAGACTGGAGTTCACACAAGGACAGAGAGACTCCAGGCAGAGACTCCCGCTCACCAGCCTCTCACTCCACCAGCACAGCTACGTAAGCACATGTTTTTATCACAGGCGGTGCTGACATCGCCCAGCAACCAACGAGGACGTTCATTCCCCAAAGAAGGTGCACGGAGACGACTGATTGTAACAGGGCAGGTTCAACGGGGGAGTTAACGGCTGTATCCTCTCTCCTGTGAGCTGCCGGCACAGCGCAGCCACGCCGGGCTGCAATCTGGTCGCCAGACCCCTGGCTCTCCTGGGCACACAGAATGGTCTGGGCTTGTTGCGCTCTCAAGTCTCGAACGCAGAACCCCGCGGACCAGGCACTAAGTCGCTGCTGACACTGGCATGAAGGGACGTTCCACTGCCAACTTTGGCAGAGAGGCTCCCAACTGTACTCAGACAGTGAAACGTGATCCTCTTTGTAGGTTTTACAGCTTTTCCTGGATATAGTCAAACTCCAGATGCAAAAATGGCTACGCCAGGCCAGAGGGAAGGTCTGCCTAGACCTCACGGTGGCCCATGGAGGCTGCAGGCAGGAGTATGTATGAGCAGGGGCTGTGTAGAGCAATCCTCCCCGCTCGCACTCACAGGTCCTGGCAGCCTATGACCTGGAGATACTTGAAGCCAGAGGCAGGATCTTTGAGTACTTAATAACCTTTGATGGATGTTTTTTTCTCTTTTTTTTTTCCACAATTTTTTCTTACTGCTTTGTGAGCCTGGATCAGTTTTAGCATCCAGCCAATATTTTGATGTAAGCCATTTGTACTGATGCTCCAAAAGTGCTATTTACTTGCTTTTATCCTTGACTGAAATGAAGCTTCCCCCAATCTGACCTTCTCAGAAGAAGAACCCTGCCTGTTTGTTGTGTGTATAAGTCATTCTCCATTCCCTTCCAGTCAAAGCAAGTCCTTGGCTTAGGGGGCTGTGGGGATGCTCATGAGCGCTACCTTCAGCCAAGGACAGGCAGTTTCTATAGGCTCTCTTCGCAATCAAAGGTGAGAGATGATTCCTCTGCTCATCCTCAGCTGGAAGAGTACCTCTTTTTACTCCCTGATTATAGCCTCCATCAGCTAACGCCAGCCTTCATGAATGACATCAGTACTTACCATCAGGAAGTATCTCATAACATTGAAATACAACTTGGAAAGGAGATGCTTATATATTTCTAATAGAAGAACTATGTGGTGATTCCACACAAAATGCAGAGAAGGGGCTTTGTGAAGGGAGGAAAAAAAGGTAGGAATTGAATTTAACTGATTTGTACTTAGAATGAGTTTCTGTGAGCTATAAAGCAAATATACACTCATATTTTTAGGGACTAAATTAGCATTCCTCAGTAAAATCACTCATCAAGACTACTTGTGTGAATGAGAGCTGTGAGGTTTCTGGATTTCATTTATAT